GAGCAGGTAGGCAAACACAAAATGAGCAACAGTCTTCAGATTAAATTTGGATCTTTTCATGGTCCAGTTGAAGCCTGGAAGATTTTGTTTCAGCTGAGTAAGAGCTAATTTTCTTGTCAGTAACTACAAAAGCATTGTGTTTTGTATTTAGTACAGGGTTTGATATGAGAAGAATGTTGTTGATACATAGATGTTTTTAGTTGTTGTCAAGAAATCAAGGACTATTCAACTTCCCATGCTTTACTAGTGCATGTTTGTCTTCCCAAGTAACAGTTATGTGTGATGGAGTCCTGCTTTCCTCCTGAACACCTGTCTGCCAATGGGAAGTAGTAACTGAATTCGTTGTTTTGCTTTGCTTGCGTGTGCAGCTTTTCCTTTACATATTAAACTGTCTTTATCTCAACTCATGAGTTTCATAATTTTTACCCTTTTGATTTTTTCTCCAATCCCACCAAGGGGGAGTGAGTGAGCAGCTCTGTGGTGCTTGCTTGCTGCTGGAGTTGAGCTACTGCAGTCCTTTTTGGTAGCAGAGAACAGTTTTGATCCACTGACCTCTGGTTTATGGGCCCAGCATACTGCCAGCACTACCCTGAACATCTCCCACTTCTGGTTCAGGAAGAAGTGGTGCCTGGAAAAACTCAAACACAAAAAGAAAGCCTACAAAGGGTGTAAGCTAGGACAGGCAGCCTGGAAGGAATACAGATAAATTGTCTGAGCAGCCAGGGATCAGGTTAGGAAAACTAAAGCCCTGATAGAATTAAATCTAGCCAGGGACATAAAAGGCAACAAGAAAAGCTTCTATATAGGTATGCTGGTGATAACAGGAAGACTGGGGAAAATGTAGGCCCCCTCCGGAAGGAAATGGGCGACCTGGTTTCCTGGGATATGGAGAAGGCTGAGGAACTCAGTGACTTTTTGCCTTAGTCTCCACCAGAAAATTCTCAAGCCACACCACCCAAGGCACAGAATGGAGAATATGAGAATGAAGAACTACTAAGGTAGGGATAGATCAGTTTCAAGACCATCTAAGGAACCTAAAGTGCACAAGACCATGGGACCCGATGAGATACATGCATCCCTGGGTCCTGAGAGAACTGGAAAATTGCTAAGCGACTATCCATCACATTTGAGAAACCATCGCAGTGTGATGAAGTTCCTACTGACTGGAAAAGCAAAAAACCCCTCATTTTTAAAAAAGGAAAAAAGGAAGACCCAAGGAACTCCAGGCCAGTCAGCCTCAACTCTATGCGCAGCAAAATCATGGAGCAGAACCTCCGAGAAACTAATCTATGGCATAGGGGAAAAAAAGGTGATTGGTGACAGCCAACAGAGCTTCACTAAGGGCAAATTGTGCCTGACAAATTTGGTAGCCTGTTATGTTGGAGTTACAGCACTGACAAATAAGAGAAGAGCAACTGATGTCACCTACCCAGACTTGTGCAAAACATTTGACACTGTTCCACATAACATCGTGGTCTTTAATTTAGAGGCATGAACTTGATGGATGGATCACCTGGTGGATAAGAATTGGCTGGGTCGTTGCAGTCAAAGAGTTGTGGTCAGCAGCTTGATGTCAAAAGTGAAGATCAGTGATGAGTGGTGTTCCTAAGGGGCTAGTATTGGGACCCCAATGCATACCATGTTTGTTGGAACCATGGACAGTGGTATTGAATGCACCCTCAGCAAGTTTGCCAATGACACCAAGCTCTGTGGTGTGGAAGACACACTGGGGGAAGGGATGCCATCCAGATGGCCCTTGACAGGCATGAAAGGTGGGCCTGTGCAAACTGCATGAAGTTCAATAAGATCAAGTGCATGGTCCTGTAAGGTCAAGTGAGTTGATTCTGCCCCTGTATACTTCACTCTTGTGAGACCTCACCTGGAGTACTGTGTCCAGTTCTGAAGCCCCCAACACAAGGACATAGATCTGTTGGAGCAAGACCAGAGGAACCAGAAAGATGATCACTGGGCTGGAGCACCTCTCCTACAAAGACAGGCTGAGAAAGTTGGGGTTTTCAGCCTGGAGAAGCCTCCAGGGAACAGGCTACAGGAAAGCTGGAGAGGGACTTTTTACAAGGGCATGGGGTGACAGCACATGGAGGATCAGTTTCAAGCTGAAAAAGGATAGAGTTAGATAGCAGGAAGAAATTCTTCTCTGTGATGGTAGTGAGACACTGGCACAGGTTGCCCAGGAAGCCACGGCTGCCCCCTCTGTAAGTGTTCAAGGGCAGTGTCCTGGTTTGAGCCAGGATAGACTAAATTTTCTTTTAGTCATTTTAGTTTTCACTTGAGTCTTTCTGTAGTAGGTGCACCTGCTAAAACTTAAAGCACGTTTCTCAGTCAGTGTCTGCTTTTAGGACTGGTAACGCTCAATAATTTACAGTTACTGCTGGAGAATGGTATGCAGATCCAAAGCCACTGCTTGGTTCTGAAAAACTTTTTGTGCTCTGGAAACAAAAGGGAGTAAAGAAGTCACAACTGTTACCCTCCTGTAGAGAGGAGCAGATCAGAGGTGACCAAACGTAGTCCATCCCATACATGCCATATTTGGTATAAAGCTGCGGGAACACAAGGATCATGCTCTCCTTGACCACGGCTAGCATCTAGAGAGGACTGCATCTGTTCATCTACTTTTGATCCTGATCTGTGTGTGTCTGAATCCTTGTGTTCCTGCACCCAGCTCCCTCCTATAGCTGACTCCAGGACTTGAGTCCAGGACTTCCCTAGGGCTGCCCTGCAGCCCTGGTGGGGATGTGAGCATTAAGGGTAGGAACATGATATTGCTTTTGTATATATTTAATTATTTTTATTTTTCATCATTACTGTTTCATTAAAGCTGTGTAGCTTAGTTTCTAACCCCTGAGAGTCTCTCTCTTAGAATCATAGAATCCTAGGGGTTGGAAGGGACCTCGAAAGATCATCTAGTCCAACCCCCGCTGCCAGAACAGGGTCACCTAGAGTACATCACACAGGAACGCATCCAGGCGGGCTTTGAATGTCTCCAGTGAAGGAGACTCCACAACCTCCCTGGGCAGCCTGTTCCAGGGCTCTGTCACTCTTACAGTAAAAAAAATTTTTCGGATATTCACCTTGAACCTCCTATGCTCCAATTTACACCCATTACCCCTTGTCCTGTCGCTGGTCATCACTGAGAAAAGCCTAACTCTGTCCCCCTGACACTCACCCCTTACATATTTGTAAACATTGACGAGGTCACCCCTCAGTCTCCTCCAACCTAAAGAGACCCAGCTCCCTCAGCCTTTCCTCATCAGGGAGATGTTCCACTCCCTTCATCATCCTTGTAGCTCTGTGCTGGACTCTTTCAAGCAGTTCCCTGTCCTTCTGGAACTGAGGGGCCCAGAACTGGACACAATACTCCAGATGCGGCCTCACCAATGCAGAATAGAGGGGGAGGAGAACCTCTCTTGACCTACTAACCACACCCTTTCTAATGCACCCCAGGATGCCATTGGCCTTCTTGGCCACAAGGGCACATTGCTGGCTCATGGTCATCCTCCTGTCTACCAGGACCCCCAGGTCTCTTTCACCTACACTACTCTCCAGCAGTTCAGCCCCCAACCTGTACTGGGACATGGTGTTGTTCTTCCCCAAATGTAAAACTCTGCACTTCCCCTTGTTGAATTTCATCATGTTTCTCCCCGCCCAACTCTCCAGCCTATCTAAGTCTCTCTGAATGGCAGCACAGCCTTCTGGTGTGTCAGCCACTCCTCCCAGCTTAGTGTCATCAGCAAACTTGCTGAGGGTACATTCTATACCCTCATCCAGGTCGTTGATGAAGATGTTGAACAACACCGGTCCCAGTACCGACCCCTGAGGGACTCCACTAGTCACACACCTCCAACCAGATTCTGCCCCATTGACTACAACTCTCTGACTCCTTCCTTTCAACCAGTTCCTAATCCACCTCACTTCCTGATCACCAAACCCATACTTGATCAATTTATCTACAAGGATGCTGTGGGAGACGGTGTCAAATGCTTTACTGAAATCAAGATAAACCTCTCTCTCTTATTCCCTTTCCTTCCTCTCCAGGTAAAGGGAGAGGGGTTAACAGTGAGCATGTGTCATCTGCTTAATTGCTGGCCCAGCGCTAAACCGTGGTTGGATGCTGCAAACCCAGGTTGGATGGGGCTTTGAACAAACTGGATGAGTAGGAGCTGTCCCTGCCCATGCAGGGGGGTTGGAACTAGATGATCTTGAAGGTTCCTGCCAACCCAAACCATTCTACGAATCTATTATTCTTCTTCCTCCAGCTTCATATGCTGAGCATGACATCATCCCTTTTAGTCAGTTAGGGTCAGATGTCCTGGCTATGCTCTGTCCCAGCTTCTTGTGTATCTGCACACTAGGAAATTAACTATCCCTGGCAAAACCAGCACAAAGATTGACCAAGAGGGCAAGAAACTAGGAACTACTGATGGACAAAAACTGAATCAAGCAAGCCACATGACAGTTTGGGAACAAAAGGCAAGCATCACATTGCTTCCAAGCACTAGAAGGAAAACACTGTATGCTAAGAAAGCATGTACTGAAAACTTACAGGGATACTTGTGGAGAAAACCACTTGAGTTTAGAGGACATAAAGATTTAAAAAAAACTACCATTTTTCAAGCCCAGTCAAACAGCACCAAAGACAGTTATCTCAGGAATATATACAGTTTAAAGTATAAAGAAATATATATATAGTTGTAAGCAAAGCTTTATATGTACTGCAAAGTGTTAAACATCTAGCATTGTGCTCAGAAACTGTCAACATAACTCCTCCTAAGCTTACTACAGTAAACAGGTATCTCCAATCAAACAACATCCCTTATCTCTTTTATGCTATTAATACTAGAGATCAACAAATAATAATAAAAAAAAAATTGGCCCAACCTGCAGTTGATCAACATCAGTAATTCATTACAGCAGGGAAACACTCGCTGCTTTTTTTCCCCAACAGTACAGCAACAAATGTCTGCAAACTCCATATAACTCACCGGCTGATGAGAGAACTTCACTTTGGGATTGTTGTCTATTTCCCACAACCCTTCATTGAAACCCTTTCTTTTATTTGGTTTGCCATATTTATCTTTATTTTCAGAGTAAGGGAATATATCCTTTGGTCCCAAAAATGCCCTTAAGGAGAGAAAGAACAAAAAGAACAAAATTTCACATTTTAAATGGTTAGTCTTCTCAAAAAGTAAGCACTAAATGTTATTAAGATATTAATTACTACTGCAACAACTCATTCTGCTGTGTAAGCATCTACAGTTTTCTCAACTTTTGCCTCCAACAGCTCAAATTCTCTGTTACCACCACACATATGGATCCCTTCCTTTCCAGGGTGTTGAGTGTCTGCAAGAAGCTGCTCAAGCTGCATCGTAAGACTGCAGCCAATAAGATAACTACTGTGAACTAGAACGATTAAAAACTAAGTAGCTTGCAAACAGGGAAAAAAAGCAATTACTTCCCTAGAAAAAAAATCAGACTTAAATGTTAAGAAAAAAGAATCATTTAATCTGGACAAGGTAAGGTGAGAGTATAATTTAAAGGAAACAAAATGGCTCCAAGCCAACAAAGAAAATATTTCAAAGTTATTAAATTAAAAATAGTCCAGTAAACATACAACACTTAAGAATAATTTTCAGTGTATGAGACATGAAAAAGCAACCCTTAAATACACATCTTCTACGAACACTTTGTAATTCAGCATGAATTCAGTAGTTTTCAGTGTGACAACGACCTTGTAACTTGATATGCCAAACTTAACCAGTAAAAGCTTTAAACTGTTCCTTATTTTAAGCTTCTCCTGCAATAACATTCTTGATGGAGTAAACACTTTAAAAAGTTATTTTCTTTTAATCTACTCATGTAGTAGCTGTCTTAACACTACCTGCATATCTTTGTTGGAAAAACAACACTCCTGCACAGCATTACCCCTACTGTAGGTTGTGTAACGAAAGCTTTTAGCCTAGTAGCTTTTCTCATGTGCCAGTCACAGCATCCACACTACTAGTTTCTCAGGAGAACAAAGTAACGTATTAGTGAGAAACAATATTCCAGTTTATGCTGAAGAACATGAAAGACTGTTTAACTCCTGCTCTACTTTAATGACCTTTCAAGTTAGGACTTCGCTGTAGCAATCCATATGCTGCTAACAGGAAATGACAACACTTGGTGGCACATTCTTATTCTCACTCTGTGCATAGAGACAGCTTTTTCTGATTGTGTAAGTGTTAGATCCAGCTATTTGAAAAATTGCAGATACTTGCTTTCTGAAGTATTGGCTCCACTCCCCTATTTTTTTCACCATAATTAAAAAAGAGCTACTTCAGGCTTACACCCTACTAAAGAAAACAAACAAAAAAGAGTGTACCATCATCTAGAAAGTTTAAGCGCTTCCTGCTCCACTCACCTACGAGTACAAAGTACTAAGTGAGCCACTGTGTCACATTAGACTGCAGAGCCACCAACCTCTTTGAAAGAGATGGTTACAGAGGATTCAGCCAGTGTGGGAGACAGGTACCAGCCAAGCCTACCAGATCAGAAAGATGGGGAAGGAGACAAACAAACCAAGAGATACAAAAATAGTAAACATTGCCTCCCTCCTCCCATATCTCCTGAGGGGAAGCATTTTTCCCAAGCTTGTAAGCCTCTACACAAAGCTCAGGCTTTGAAAAACACCAGAAACTGGTTACTTGTGAAAAGGTTATGTAGCTTACTAGGTTGTACCTAAAAGAAAAAGGAGCAAAAAAATCAAATTAAGAGAGATTACCTTAGTATACAGGTCTTGAAACTAGAGTTCAGTGTGACTTTCTGTTTGTCTGTGACCTAACAAAATTTGCACTGATGTGATTGACTGGCACAATATATCCAAATATAGCTTTTATTAAAAATAGTATGTATTTTATTACTTTGTTTTTTAGGAAAAGGTACTGTTGCTACACTAGGACAGTATAGAAATAAACAAAGCAAATCTCAACCAAATTCTCAAAGCATATTTTAATAAGCATGTACCTGTTCACTGCACAGAGGTAACAAAACTTTTGGTTCTGTTTTGACAAAACTTAAGACAAACTCAACCACAGCAATTAAGTTTATACTTTTTTACAGTAATCTGCCAAGCAGAATTAATATAATTCCAACAAGTCAAGGAAGAATTATTCCCAAGACAGCCTGGTTCCAATTTTTTCACATGGCTTCTCTGTTCTTACAGTAACCATCCACACAGACAGAAAATGCCACCCTTTATACAAAAGGACTTCTTAGCATGATTAAACTCATTATCTGGATTTTTGGAGTTGTCACTACTTATAGTAAGATAGGCTGTACAAGTGCAGACTACTGACATGCTGAAGGTAGGCAGTATCTAACTTTGCACTAGTGTATAACTTAGAGAAACACAAAGGAGAAAAAGTTCAGATTTATTTTAATTCCCAAGAAAAAGTGCAGAAAATCGTTAGCCCTACCTAACTCCTGATGGATCACTAAGTCACTATTTATAGCTGCAAGCCTTAAAAAAAAAATACAGGCCGTGGAACAGCATTCTGCCTTTTCACCTCATTTACTTCTTCCTGTTGTTACTTACAGGTTGCAAACAGCAGTAAGTAAGATTAAGCATGGGAGTTTCACCTGCTACCACTGTAAGGAGAACAAGGTAAGTGACATGCTTAAAAATGAGAAAGCTCATGAGAAAGCTGGGTCATTGAATATCATGTACTTTGCAATGTATATGAAATAGAGACAAGAAGCTTCTCTTACATTGTATGGATCTCTGAAACGTGGTGACCCTGAAGCTACAACCTAACAAAAAAACCCCCACCAAAACAAACAAAAAAATCACAGTAAAGCTTTACTTTGTGTTAATATCAAGAGTGAAGAATAAGTATTTCAAATTTATACATGTAAACTACAAAAAACCCCACAACTTCCAAAGCCCAGTATGTCTTAGGAGTGTCAGCTAAATTTAAAATTGGCCATGATGCCTCTCAAAATTTGCAAGGTACATTTAAAGCTTCAGATAAGGAGTTATTTCTGTCTCCCTTATGTGCAACCTATGTCCCTGAACCTACTTACAACTGCACAAAACCCCAGCACAATCCAGAATGCCACACAAATTACCAAGGATAGGATCAAACCAAGGTTGGGCTTTCAGTTGACAAAAAAAAAAAAAAAAGGACAAAAAAAAAAATCAAACCCCAAAAAAACATGTAAAGAAAAAAAATGGAAAAAAGGTAATCTGCTGCATTGTTTACAATTATTTAAAAATGGACAAGATTTGAACCTTGCAACCCTGAATCACATTCCAGGAACCCCTCTTCACACACACAAAACTCCTAAACAAACTGAAAAACTGATCCACTGAAAGATCAAAACAGTTAAAGAAATACATGGATGTATGAACCAATCTTTTTCTCAGTGAAATAACTTAGTAAAAAGAGAACCAAGTAACAAGTAATGTCAGAGAGTAGAAGATGTTTAGTCTTTAATTCAAGGGCAAAATGCGTTTTTTCTAAGTATTACTTACTCTAAGTTAGAAGTAAAATACCAGATTAAAACAATTTCAATAGATATTTCATAAGATTAAGAAAAAATAAACACTTTTCCACCAAATGCAAGAAACAGTACCCCTATATACAAGTTCTATCTCTGAACTGCTTACATACCATTTTTAATTCTATTAAAAAAAACAGCAGAAACACAACATTATAGGTTTTTGTTCTTATGTAAAAAAAACACTAATAAGCCAACAAACAAAAACCCAAAACCAAAACAACCAATCAGACAAGTGGCAATGAATTTGAAGTTTTAGAAATCCACGAGGACAGAGAATCATTATATCCAATAACACAAGAACTTTCAAAAAGACAGAGCTGCATAAACCCCAGCATATTTACAATCAAATTTAGCAGTGGAAGAAATACAGTCCCCCAAAGCAAATGCTGTATGACTGCAAAACACTAACGTCACTGGAAGTACTCAAAGAGAAATATTTTGCATAAACCTAACTGCAATTCCTCGTTTTTCTCTCTGGAAATGATAAAAACCAACACACACGGCCCCAAATCTCTCAAAAAAACCCCCATAATGTGATTATTTGTCTGTTTCTCAAATCTCGCCTTTTATTTCATTTCACAGCCTTATTTCACTTACTTTGAGAATATATTGTTCACACTGTTGAAGATATAGAGAACTATAATTAAGGCCCATTAATGAAGAAAGAAAAACTTACCAGTCACACAATGTGGTTAGGGCTTGTTGTTTTCCTTCTGATGGTACCGTTATGGTCTACCACTACCCTGAACCACTTAAGCAAATGTTAAGAGATCAGTATCTCACCCAAACATATTTAGAAAGAGTTGGCCTGGTTCTGAATATTATACTTTAAAATGCATTACATTCAAATAGGCCGTTAACTTCTTATTGTGGTGTTCTACAATGAAAAAGTATGACCCTTAAATATGAAGAACTTACGTCTCATGGGTGCCAAAAAAGAAAATAGGCATTTTATTCGTAGGAGGCTTTACTGCTCCATCAGGAACTTCATCCACCTAAGGAAAAACCACACTATAATTCAAGTCAAGTAACAGTTAGGAGAACTCTAGGAGGAAAGAACAGTGTTAAGCATTAAAAAATAAAAATAAGCTACAGAGAAGTAAAGCAGGTCTCAAGGCCTCTTTTGAAGTGTATGTTAAAAATACAGCAGAATCAAGGGCAGTGGAAGCACAGATAGAAATGACAACACTTCTCATGTTGCAACACTTTTCACATGATCACTTTCTTTAAAAGGAGAGACATGATGTGCTACAGGTAAAAAGCACACTTCAGTTCCACCCAACCACACCTCCTTCAGCATAAGCAAGAGCAAGATTTCCTGCCCTTGCACAGAGCTGGTAACTTGCCCAAGCCCAAATACTAAGAGCTACAAAAAGGAAAGGTCAATAAACCTTTTGGAAAACAATTAGCATGCTAACTAATTACCTCATAACTAGTCCTTTATCTACATTCCCACAACTGTCAAATGACCTAGAGCAGTCACAACTTGCTATGTCTCTTCAAGGAAGCAGGGAGAATGCAAAGAAAAAAAAAAAAGACTGGAGAACTTTTACATTTATTCTGCCAGAAGCAAACAGGATTAGCTAATTTTAGAAGCAAAGAGTAGCCA